ACACACACACACACACACACACACACACACACACACACAAACACACACACACAGCGATTTGGTTAAAACAGACATTTTATATATTCTTAATGAAATTGAAACCTACTTATTTGACACAGAAAATATCGCAGTTTATCTCTTGAAAGACCATTTAAGTTGATTTAACCTTAGGTTAACTGAAGTTTAGGTACATCCAAAGGGGACCCTAAGGAGCTAAAACGATGACATTTTCAGGGTCAAATGAGTGGGTTTCAATTTCGTTCAAAAAATATAAAATGTCCGTTTTAATAAAATAGTTGCTCTCTCTCTCTCTCTCGCGCGCGCGCGCGCGCGCGTGCGCGCGCCCCAAGGCAAAAGTACAACGTTTCTCTTTTTCTTTGTTTTATTGGTTTTTCCTTTTTTTTCTTCGTTTTCTATGACATTGTTTGTTCCTTATCTTTGTTTGTGTGAGATGCGTGTCATCCTGGAAAGGGTGGCACCTGACCTTCTTGCATCGACTAGGCTTCCACTCGGGTGACCCTCTACGGTAGTGCCGCGTTAACGGGTAAGTCCCGTGGTCCGTGTATGGGCCAAGTACTAGTGGTTTAAACCACTAGTACCTTTCCCATATGCTAGTCGCGGGCACTGCGAGGCGACCAAAAAATCAAGATTGGTCATCGATTCGATATATCAGTGGTCGCCCTTCCGTTTCAGGCCAGCGCATTGTCGTGCCAAATACCCTTACAAGGGTATTTGACGTGCTCTTTGCAAGTCACATATGGTGAGGCCTCGTTCATAGTTGGCAGTGTTATGTGCAGTCAAAGTGTGACTCTGGTATCGGGTCCGTGAGATTGAAGCAGGAGAGGATCAACGCATAAATAAGAGACCCCCGAGATTTGTCACCTAGGACCATTAATGCGGAGGACGAACTGCGATTGCGCAAGAAAAAGTTGAATGTTTATTATGCCGGGCGCCGCGCACGGTAGACTTGATGGGCAAAGTGCGACCCTTTGAGGCGTGGGTGTTTGCGGCGTCAAAGGCCTGCGTCGATATACCCCTTTCAAGTTTAGCGTGATGGGCAGTATGCCTCCGACTGAAGCATTGCCCCGAGCCCCACTACTGGTCCGATGATAGGGGCCAAACAAGTGCCGATGGTTTCTCCGTTTCATTTCTATTATTATTTTTATTTTTATTTCTATTTTTGAATTTTTACTATATCTAATGTGTTTCTTCTGGGACCAGGCCTGGTATCAGCTTCGGTGTTTCTGCGATGCAGATACTCAGAGCAAGTTGACCATTCATACACCATTCATGACACTAAAGATTGACCATCCAGGGGAGAAGAGGAAGAAGAGGAGGAGGAGGAAGAAGAAGAAGAGGAAGAAGAAGAGGAAGAAGAAGAAGAAGGACACAGGTATACAGTCTGAAAAAAAACCCGAACGTGACTTCCGCATCTTGATAATATTGAAAAACAGCGGAATCGAACATAGTCCGAACTGTGTGCCCGACTGGTTTCGGCTGGTCGCCACCAACTGTCGTTAGGGGCTTTGGTCGCACGAACAATTCTCGTCCAGTCCGTATTTGACCTATGTAAAAGAAGTGACTGTTAAGTGTTGTTGTCAACGACACTGTACGAAAAACCTTCCCTTCATCAACGACACTGTACGAAAAACCAGGATTACGTAAGAATAGCTTGTTTAGACCAACGAGATAAAGTGACGGATAACACACATAGGTGTCACCCGCGTTGTGATCAATTGGACTGCATGTCAGATTATTTAAAAGAGATAGTTTATGAATAACTTCTTGTGAGGAATGTATCTGTAGAGGACTATGAGAAGAGACTGGAGTAGAGTTGAAGCATGAAGAGAGCTCTTGAGGTGAAATAAAAAGAGGTCCAACAGGAAGATTGTCAAAAAATTATCCGAACGATTTCAGAATCTGGTTCCTTAGGCCATGAGAAGAAGTACCAAGGTCTGGACGAAGAACATTCTTAGAGTTACGCATAATATCCGGAAATAAAGTAGAATGTCCTATCCGAAAGGAGACGTGCCCATTAAGACGATCAAATTCCGTAGGAGCAGAAGAACAGTTGCAAACGCAAGACGAGGTTGATTTACATAATATTTTGGAATTGATCATACGGTCCCCAACTGTCGGATTTCTGCACCATACTATCCGCATCCTACGTACAAGCATGTTTTTCCAAACGTCATCAATTTTAAGTCGTCCGATCACCAAAGCACAGACTCGTCGAATTTTTGCTTTACACAAAATCTCATCGTATGTAATCTGTACCACCAACCTCCTTCTCACAGAAATATAGAAGCACCTAAGAATAACCTTGGAGAGAATCAACCTTATTCGAAAGCGAGAGCGCTTCTCTCGGAACACACGAACTGCCGAAAAAACGTAGATTAACTCTCTCAAATTCCACTGATACAGATCCCGCCTACAAGAAGGGTTACTAAGCAACTTGGACAGGGGTAACTTAAGTCCTAAACAGCAACGTGAAAAAAGAACAATAGATTCAAACTTAACCATATTACCGTTAACCAACCATCCTCTCTTATTTCTCAACATTCTATTTCCATACTGGCAAGAGACCAAAGAGGAACCATAAGAACGCCTCAAGATTTTCCATTTATCTGACAAAATATTACCGCCCTTGTAAACAACAGTACAACTAGAAATATTAGTATTATTACAAAATCCAAAATATTCAGAATACTTAAGGATACAATACCAACTGATGAATGAAATAAATAGAGAGAGTTTTCGGAAGAGAAAGGATATATCTCAGGGGCCCCAAATCCACCAGCCTTTTTCAATCTTCTCCTTCTTTCACGCTTGCCTGGTCGACTGCGTTTCGAACGAGCAGCTTTATCTCGAATATTCAGGTGCGGCCCAAAAATCCTAATAAAGAACTTTTCTACTTCCGGAAGATCCTCGGCCGAGCAGTAGCAGACCGGTATAGCAACATATTTAGACGGATCACATTGACGTAGCCATCTGTATACCTTCTCATTCCTAGGACGAACTCCATCAGGAGGGGTACGACATCTATAGACATGCTCTGACCATCGAGTATATACATTCCTATTAGTACTTCCAACATAGATATGGCGACACCAAGGGGAGACCAACACATACACCAAGGGACCAGAACCCTCATTCAACTTGCCATCCACACATGTCCGAAAAAGATAGCTACCTAATTTAGTTGCCCACGGGACCTCACCAGCACAGATCAAAGAAATAACAGTTAAAGCAAATAGAGAGTTAATCACCTTACATCTCAATAAATCATCAAAGGAAGAGCGAGTCTTACAAAGACAGTGAGCTAATTTCCATAAACCATCCGCGTTCGGAATTGACACTAAGAGGAGTCGGAGACTTGCTCGTCAGTCGTGTCGTCCGAAACACGAGTATCATCTTCTATCTCATGCACTGCTATACCCTTACCTTTGTCTTCCGGGAAGGCCCTAGCTACTTTTTTTGGCAGAATCTCCTTCTTGGTTGCTTCGAGAGTAGTGTAAGTTACCCCCTCCTTGGCACATTCTTTCTTGGTATCTTCCATATTCATGACCTGGAGCATTTTCCAACATTCTTTCGTAAATCCCTCCTTGTCGTTGTCTTTCGGGATCGGTTCTTCATTTGTCATGACCATTTTTTCCTTCCCCGTTGTAGTTTTTCTTGCTGTAGCAGCGCCCACCTCATCCAATTTTTGTCGAAGGTTTATACCCGACATACGCTCCCTCTTCCTTGCCGTTTCCAATCGTGCTATCTCTTCTTTCAGTCTTTCAACCTCCTGCTCTGCTTGCCTCCTTCCGTTCAGCTCTTTCAATCTCATCACTTTCATGCATTCCACTTCTTCAGCGTGTCTCTTCATGATCTCTTGATAATCTCCATTCGGTGCCGCTGCCGGTGACTTCTGAGGTGTCATTCGCGCTCGCACCCGTGTCGTTGCCACCGGTGTCTCAATTATCATGATACTGCCGCGTTTGTTCCCCGGCCTGTTGGCCTCAAGCCTCCACGCAACGGCTTCTCGTTCAGCAGCCTCCGCCCGTCCCGCTGCAGCACTCACCATCAATAATAGCCTAGTATGCATGTCTTCCTGTTCTTTCTTCATCTTCTCCTGGTTTTGTTGCATCTTCTCCACCGTCTCAAAATCTAGTTCGTTCATCGCGTGTGCACGTGCCGTCGATGTCGATGCCGTGCCACGACGAATTTCCTCCACCTCCGTTCGTAATTTCTCAATCGCTACGTTATCCTTCTCTTGCTTCCCAGCCAAGGCTTTACGAACCGCGCTTAGCTCGGTTGCCATTGTGACTTTCATCTCTTTCTGGAAAACCTCCCTTTCTTGCTTCTCCTTTTGCCTTCTCTCTTCCTCCTCCTTCTCTCGTTGCTTCCTTTCTTCGTCTTCTTTCTTCTTGCGTTCCTTTTCTTCGTCAGCATCGTACCGAATCTTTATCTTGCGGACTTGATCCCCCAATAACTCTAATCTCTAGTTACTAGCAGTTAGTATTGCTCCATCCGCCTCCCTGATATGGTACAATTGTCGTGGCATTGTTGGATTGGTCAACAGTGGTGCAGACGCAGGAACAATAGCTGAACCATATTGCTGTACGTTAGGATTCCGTGGACACCATCGCGCAAAGTGGCCAGCCTGTCCACAAATAAAGCACGCATGAATGATCATTGAAGAGGGGGCTACGAAATTGGCCATCTCAAAAGTCAGTTCCTAACGAAGGAAAAAAAGGGGAAGGAAAAGAGGGAAAAGAAGGAGGAAAAGGAAGGAGGAAGAAGGAGGAAGAAAGAAAGAGGAAAAGTCAAAGCAGTAGCCCAGAAAGTGCCGAAGGACGAACGAATCTTACGAAGCCACACACTCGTAGTATTACCTCTACGCTGGTTACTCCGCGAAAGAAAGTGTTTCTGCGATGCAGATACTCAGAGCAAGTTGACCATTCATACACCATTCATGACACTAGAGATTGACCATTGAGGGGAGAAGAGGAAGAAGAGGAGGAGGAGGAAGAAGAAGAAGAGGAAGAAGAAGAAGACGAACACAGGTATACAGTCTGAAAAAAACCCGAACGCGACTTCCGCATCTTGATAATCTTGAAAAACAGCGGAATCGAACATAGTCCGAACTGCGTGCCCGACCGGTTTCGACTGGTCGCCACCAGCCGTCGTCAGGGGCTTTGGTTGCACGAACAGTTCTAGTCCAGTCCGTATTTGACCTGTGTAAAACAAGTGACTGTTAAGTGTTGTTGTCAGTTTCTATTCTAAAAAGTGTCCAAATACAGTGTTTCTTCTAGAAGGAATGACAACTACCTACGCACTTTCCTTCAAGGTATCGGGCCTCTTTTTATCTGTCGGTCACCTTGGAAGGTCACCAGTTCAAAACTTGACAGTAACTTCACAGTCTACATATGATACTCATTTCCATCAGATCCAACTACGTCAGCTTCGGGACTCGTCGAGGTACCGACGAGCTTAGCCTAGTTGGTACTTCCACGAACTGTTGAAGTGCAAGTTTGAGTTTGATCTTCACTGGAAGTGAATGAGTAAAAATATTGCAGTTGAATTGTTTGGGCGCGGTACCAGTTGTAGTACCGATGAGTAAACCAGGTAGCCTAGCTCAGTTGACACACCCTTTGAACCATTGAAATATAAAGCAAAATTTGAATCCAGATACAGTTTGATTAACAACATAAACATATTTATGAATTACCTGGGGCCGGCCTGTCCTGAGGTGATACCTCATGGTTGTGCCGACAGTCTGGTCCTTTGGGACATCCGTTAAAATTGGAACTATACAGAGAAGATTAGCATGACTCGACAGTATTTAGAGCAGCGGACCCAATCTCACTGCTTACTCAGTTTTTTCAGGCTGTAGTTCAACCGCTCGACTGCACTAACTTTTGGTGCAAGATGAAAGTCACGACGAAAACAAGGAAGAAAGGCATGGAGTTGTGAAGGCAGACAACAGGGAGACAAGGAGGACAACAAAGTAGAGGGAAAGGCGAAAGAAGGAAGTAACGGAGAAGCATCAGAGGGAGACAAGGGGCGAAAGGGAATGGGCTGAATCTAGGCGCGAATCAACGTCAGGTAGATTAGCATGGCTCGACGGTATTTAGAGTAGCGGACTCAATCTCACTGCTTACTCAATTTTTTCAGGCTGTAGTCCAGCCGCTCGGCTGCACTAACTTTGGTGCGAAGTGAAAGTCACGACGAAAATAAGGAAGAAGGGCATGGAGTTGTGAAGGCAGGCACCAGGGAGACAAGGAGGACAACGAAGTAGAGGAAAAGGCGAAAGGAGGAAGTACCGGAGAATCATCAGCGGGAGAAAAAGGGCAAAAGGAAATGGGCTGAATCTAGGCGAGAATCTGCATCAAGTACATTCGAAGAAGGAAGAAAGGATGACACGAAGACGAAGAGTAAAGAGAAGTGGATGTTGAAGAAGAGAAAAGGTCTATCTCCCCCGATTCTCGATGAATTTCGGCGAACGAAGACTCTAAATAGGGTTTTTTTCGGCATTTCAAGTCTGGTGGGGACGTCGGATTCGACTCTTTGATAACCGATTAATCGCTACTGTACGTGAACTGCACGCGAGAATAAAATAATTAAGATGGAGACGTATCTTTCCGTATTCTAGTGGAAGATTTATTCTCATTTTGCACATACTGGGGAAATCATGAACTTCCTCTTCATGGTCGGGTGTGTCATGATGGTGTCTATCCCCTCCATAGTCAGGTTGGTGCGAAGCTTGCCTTCTCGGTCGTCATCTACAAAACCGTGAGGGTCGCTTGGCTCGTGTTCGTCCACGAACGTGATTGTATTGCTCCCCCTACGTGTTGTACTTGTTGTGTGTGCGCCCATTCTTATTGCCCACCGTCAATGTCACTGTAGCTATATCGCCCTCGAGATTGCTACCTCCTGCTATTCCTGGTGTCTTGCCTTGTGATCGCAAGTTGCGTGAACTTGGGAAGGGACCCGACCGGAATTCAACCAAGTCCACTACAAAAGAGGGAAAAAAGAACCAGGGCAGATTGAACAGTGGGGAGGAGGGGAAAAAATAGTTAAACGAGCGAGCGGTGTTCGAGAGCGGGACAAAGAAGGAGAAAGGAAGAGGAATCTGATGGTGTACCTATTTGTGTTCTAGTGACGAATTCATTTTCATTCGGCACTTGCCAAACAACGGATCGAGATCCACCATGCGGAGGAGTAAGCGGTGTCGAGCGCATCGGTGTAGCACTGCACAAGCAGGGCGGGACCCTCTCGACCACGTCACGTAGGAGTTGGTATGTTCCTCGTCGCGAATACACACGGAGCTTCCGTAAGCCGCTCCGGCCGAGTGCACCAGCCATACCTCTCGCGAGCCCCTATGACAACATAGGGTCTACGCGAGGCACGACTTACCTGCACCTTATGGGAGTTGTCACCTCCCTTCGGTGGGTGTATCCCCGCCGAGCTACCAATTCACAGTACGAAAGTTAATCAGCTGCAATTGTAGAGGTGGACCAGTCGATGGCGTTTCTCGTTCGTTTTAGCATAGGGGGTACGTGCGGTTTTACGCCTCTATCGGACCCGCACGCGAACCGATGCCTTGGGGGGATGAAGTCCCAAGCGCGGCTCAACGTCGGTCGACTAGGACGTATCCCACGCACCACACGTACACCACTCTAAGAACATAAAAATTAAATCACACACACACACGAAATGACACAAACAAAACAACGCACACAGCGGGACGAAGAAGGAGAAAGGAAAAAGAATCTGACGGTGTACCTATTTGTGTTCTAGTGATGGATTCATTTTTATTCGGCACCTTGCAAACAACAGTGCGAGATCCACCATGCGGAGGAGTAGGCGGTGTCGATCGCATCGTTCCAACACCGCATAAGCGGGGAGGGACCCTCCCGACCACGTCACGTAGGAGCTGGTCTGTTCCTCGTCGCGAATACACATGGAGCTTTCGCAAGCCGCTCCGGCCGAGTGCGCCAGCCATACCTCTCGTGAGCCCCTACGACAGAATAGGGCCTACGTGAGGCACGACTTACCTCCACCTCACAGGAGCTATCACCTCCCTTCGGTGAGCGTTTTCCCCCCCGAGCTACCAGTCCACAGTACGAAAGCTAAAAAGCTGCAATCACAAAGGTGAACCAGCCGATGGCGTTTCTCATTCACTGTAGCATAGGGGGTACGCGCAGTTTTACGCCTCTATCAGACCCGCACAAAAACCAATGCCTTGGGAGGCGGAAGTCCCAAGCACGGCTCGATGTCGGTCGACTAGGACGTATCCCATGCACCATGCGTACACCACTCCAAAAACATAAAATCTAAAACAAACACACACAGAACAACGCAAACAAAACGACGCACACAATCCTAGTCCCTTCAGTAATCATCCCATAACTCTCCGATGTGGAAATCGGATAGGCGACGCGCGCGAGACTTAGTATAAAATCGCGCGGCCGCAGGGCCTTTCCACATCGACTAGCAATGCAAACATACACAAGCAGTCGCGATAATGGTGTACTATGTAGTATCCATAATCATGCGGTCCTCGTTGATCTCGAGGGTCGCATTTGACACTCAAGTGTCGGCTGACACTCGCCTTAAGGGGTTGATCTATCGACGTTAGATAACCGATAAGCGGGGTTGAGAACCACGCCCTCTTCTGCACCCTGCAGAGAGTGGGTGGTACACAGGCTCATACATGTGGTGACAATTGTCTCCTATTGCCCTGAAGACCAACTCTATCATCCAAGGTCTGGAGAGAACTCAAGGGGTTTGACTTTGACGGCTGCCACAGACTACAACGTCCAACTATAAGAACTAACAAGCAAAATCAATCAAAAACAAATAATGAATAATCCCGATACCCATATATCAAATCATAACTCGAGATAAAAATAACGAAAAGAAAACATAACCCATCAGGTATGCAGATCGTGCGACACATGGTTGTCATCCTCACTGCCTCCAAAGTAAGGCTCGTACACAGACTCCAAGACACTAACCTTTAGAAAACACAGACAAAGACGAACGCCACATCGCCATACACCAATGTGGTCAACTTTACTGTTCACTGTAACTCACACCATGCCTCACATACTCAAGCCCTTGTTATAGTCAAACTCTCCATAAATCTCATAAATTATTTATAATAATCATTAAAAGAAGTTCGGTTAAAACCCTCAAAGAAACATATCAAATCTCAGGGCTAAGGCATCAAGTTGAGGTACAGGTATAAACAAAGTTGTGTCGTGAGACGACGAGTCGACAATCAACCAACCGACCTGTTATCAGTGATAACAAAAGATGATCCTCGTAGGATCAAGTTGAATCTTAGTCCAATCCAGAATTGAATCAATCAACGAAGGACTTGTAGCACACGACAGGTTAATTCTCAGACTAAACTTATAAATGTATGGAGAATAAATCCCCATGT